GCTCCAGACGACCTCTGATAACACTTGAAAATGACGATAACTACCACTTTTCACATGTAGGGAGGGCACCATGTTGAAGTAACACTGAGCCTCACAGCATACAGTTGCTAACTTCCAAGTGTGTTCTTTTAAATGTACCTGGTAGGATACTTGCTTTTAAATGCATGCATCTAAAATCTAGAGAATTATTACCACAAATTACCTATTGTTCTGCAGTCATTACTTCAGGGCTCATCAAACTACGTAAGAGCCAGATATTAGTAAATATTTTTACTAATTAGTGAAAGTAGTAAATATTTGAAGTTTCATAAGCCAAATGGTCCCTTATCACAAGTCCTCAGTCGCTGGTGTTAACAACAGAGCTGTACATAAAGAATGAACAACTGCTCTGACATAGCTTTATTTGTGGACACTGACATTTTTGTGTGTCTCAAGATATTTTTCAAACATTTGACCTACAGACTATACCAACCCCATTACCTAATTCAACTGCTTGATAACAAACATGGAAAGGCCCAAGAGCCAGTAGAAATAAGATTCTAGACTCTTCATTGCTCTGTTGACATGGTACACACATCAACAGGGATCTTTGAGTGTATCTCAAAGGTGTGCAATCTAATGAAGCAGAGTAAGTAGTCAGATATTCCCTAAATACTTCTAAATCTGGGTTTTCAAATCCAATTGCCATACTCTTCAATAGCTAAAGAAGGGTGTGGGCTACTCCTCAGTATTTTGTTTTCATGTCACCATCTAGTGGTAGAAGTATGGTTGAGTTAAGTCATAACAGTATTAATGTGTGACATTTTAAATTCTGTAGTTTGTAATATCTGTCAAGGTACTTGTCTGAAAACCAACCCCGGAAACAGCTGTAGAAAATTAACATTGCTATGGGAATTACTTGCCCTTCTTAAGCACCCTGATTTGTATTAGGTGTTCCTACATTTTAAGTTTTATCTTTTCATTACCTCTAGGGTTTGAAGATGTGGTGCTCATTTGGGGGTCCAGAGTTAATACAGAATTTACTCTTGACCCTCTCCATGCACCACCACCCCCATCCACACTGAAGCCATTGTGTATGGAACATGGGGTCCTTACTAGAAAGCAGCTATATTATCTTACTCTTTCCACAGTACCTCACCTGCTTTTAACGTAAGTTCAGCAAACTGCTTTTTGAGTCTTAGATTGCTAGAGTTATTCTCTTTAAGCATAATTTGGATATATCACTTAGCTACGTAAAATCCTTCAATAATTTCCTGTAGCATTTAGAATAAACTCCAGTTGGGCCTTCCTCAACTGCCCCTCCACTTCTGTCAGCGTTGTGGTCACACTGTGCCTCTTGCTACCGTAAAACACTTGTCCTGCTCCAGTTCTTGGTGAGTTTGTTTTCCTGGACCTGCCCCCTAATCTTGAAATCCTTGAGGTTTCAACAAACTCATCTCAAAAAATAATTTTCCTCTAATGCTCTATCGTAGTATTCTGTGTATTTTCTTCTGGGTATAACTACACTCCATAATTCATTTATTTCAGTGTTTAGTTATATTAGGGACATTAAGCTGAAAGTTTGAAAAAAGATGGCATAAATCAATAGGGTTTATTTTTCTCCTGTAACAAACTGGCAGCAGGCAGTACAGGGCAGTGGCCTATTAAATGGATCCAGGTTTTTCCTTTCCACAGGTGACACTTCCTGGTTTCCAGTTAGCAGCAACATCAAGTCTTTTAAAGATGGGGTGAAACAGACGGGTGCTCTGTCCGTTTGGATTCCCCCTCCTGGAGCAGATCCTGAGAGCAGGGTCCTAAAAGAAATCTTTATTTCAATGGTCATTTCAAAAAGCACCAGTAAGAATGGGAAAATAAGGCAGGGAAGGAAGTGTATCCCATAAAGGATCCATTATCAAGCACGATTCCTGAGGATAACAGCGTAATCCTACTGGGGAATTCTAGGTACCAGTATAAAACATGCCCCAAACCCACCTGAGGGACAAGGAAGCAGAGATAGGTATTTGTGTGTCAACTCTTCAGTCATTGGAGGAGGGATTGTAGGCAACAATGCAGACTCCTCTTGGCTCAGGCAGCCAGACACACAATCATGGGCACAGAGATGCAGGTGCTGGCTATTAGAACTTTGTTACCTCTGAAGTGATGCGAATGAGGGGCTGTAGACGGCGCTGACCGCATCTGGTAAATCCCCTCTCCTATGGGAGATAAGCACAGACGAAGTAGCAAGAAAAGGCCAGGGTCCACAGTGGCATTGTCAAGCAGCTGAGTCCATGCGAACAACTCCCTCCTGGTTTCTATTAAAGACATTCAGCTGATATAAAGAAGCCAAACCCTGAGTCACTGTTGACGTGCTTGTTTTCAGTCAATGAGCAACTGAGAAAGTCATCAGAGTACAAGTAGAAAAAGAATGTTTGAAAAATAATTGTTAGCAGTTGTACAATTCTACTTGACGTGATTAAAATATGAAATGATAACGTATTAAATTCCAACCAATTTAAAAAAGTCATCTGCATCTGAGATTGTCTACTTTCTTACAATAAAATGGTAATAAAGCATCTTGTAAAGCATGTTGAGGAAAAGGTACCTTTTTCTAACTCACAGAAAGACTAGCAAAAATGCTGAATTTGTCTTGTTCATCTTCCTGGGTTTTGTGTGGTGATCACAAATAAATGGTAAGACAAAGACGAGAATGAGAAAGCATAGATAATTAACAAATACATAGAAACAAACAAAAACTGCCATCAAGTGGATTTGGGCTCAAAATATCCCAAAAGGACATAATAGAACAGTCCCTGTAGATTTCCAATACTATCAGTCCTCACCCCCACCCCAGCAAGACTGTCAATCTTTACGGAAGTAGAAAGCCACATCTTTTCCCTACAGGTAGCAGCATTGATGGTCAAAAGAGAGAGAAACAGGCAATCACATTGCTGGGGCTTCAAGTTAGTGCAGACTTTAAAACACAGTAACAGTGTAAAGGGGTGACAGGAAGCACAAGGCGTACATTTTGTGTTGGGTTTTGGCTGGATTGCACCTAGTTCAAGGTGGCAGTTGAAGTCAGAGAGCCTGTCAAAAAAACAAAATAGGAAGTCCTGTAGTTCCCATTAGAATATAAGCATCCTCGGAAATAGGGGTTTGGTTCCACACACTGCTATAAAGCAGATTCTGCAGTAAAGTGAGCCCCATAGCATTTTTGGTTTCTCAGGGTACACTATCCTATAGTGAGTGCAGGGCAGCCCTCTGAAAACACCTGAAATGCCAGGGGACTTGTAAGACTGCGTGAGAAAAATGAAACAAAGATATTGGAATTTTTCCACAAACTTTTTAAAGCGCACTCCTGAGAACTACCAAAATGTGACACAGATCTAAACTGAGCACATGCTTTTAGAAAGACAACACTGTGGGGGAGGGAGGAGGAAAAGAGCTGGTACCAAGGGCTCAAATAGAAAGTAAATGTTTAGAAAATGATGATGGCAACATATGGACAAATATGCTTGGTACAACTGATGTATGGAATGTTATGAGCTGTAAGAGCCCCAATAAACTTAATTTTAAAAAAGTAGATGACACCAATAGACTTGCTTGGTCTAGGGTTGTCACAAACCTTGAATGCGTTATCTGTAAAGCGTAATGAAAAGAGTTCACGGGAAGTGAGCTTCGTATGCAGTTTCCAAATCTTGGACATCTCTCCCACTCCTCTGTTCCCTTTCTTGTATTTCACTTAACGCTCTTGTACAACCTGCCCTCATCCTTTTCTAAACAAGTTAAAGGTCTTCTGAGAATGTTGTCACTGCCCTGCCACAAAACATTTTTGTAAACCTGTATTCTGTGCATTTTTTTAAATAGCAATTTAAAAAGAATTGTAAAACAATATAAAGATTTAATAATGAGGTATTTGGATTTTTCTAAGTATTATAAGTAACCCTGTGTTTTGTTTTTCTCTCCAACTTCAAATGTTTCTGCTGGCCTCTTAGTACATATCCATAGAAGTCTTAAGTGTTGAACAAAATATCAACTGTCACATCTGGAGTCTTACTATCTTTTTGCCTACCTGCCATGAAATAATTTTGAAAAAAGCATACATCCCTTGCTGGTTTCTAATTTGACATAAAACATTTCTCACTGTAACCTTGCAAAAGATGGAACTTCTGACACAAAAACCAATGTTTCGAATAAAACATTTTAATATTTACAACGAAATATAAAAACCCTAGCAATTTGGTAGCCACAATTATCCATTTACAAAATACACTAACAGCCCTGGTTCTACTTTCCCTACCTAATTTTACCCTGATGTAATACACTGACAAAACGCACAGCAAAAACAAATTACATTCTCTTACAATCATGCTAACAGTCCTTATACTCAAAAGTTTAATAACCATAAAACTTTTAAGTGAACATTTCTGAAAAATGATTTGGGGTGCAGTTGATTAAAAAAACAATTATCACAATTAGGTAAATAATTCATATAAAATATCTGTTTGAAGAAAATGACATATCTGTTAGGCTCTATGTAAACATTACTTTGGCATGTTGCAAAACTTGGGGTTGCAGATTAATTCAACATGTAGAAAATATCAACTATTATCCATTGGCAAGAGTTCTCAATGCTGTCAGTAAAATCACCAATTAAAAGTCTGTCTTCGGGCAATGAATGTACAAATGCGCTTTACACAATTGATGTGTGTATGGATTGTGATGAGAGTTGTATAAGCCCCTAATAAAATGATTTAAAAAAATAAAATAAAAGTGTCTTCCTTTTTTAAAATAAACATCAATGTAAGTTTTACACAATTTTGAGAAATTCTACAAAAACTACAGAAAAAAACTTAAAACTCATCTTGTAGATTACTGCGATTAGCAACATCAAATGACACATAATTGATGTTATAACTTATAAATCATCTCAGTGATGAAAAATGTATAGTCAAAATAAGTCATAAAATGAAAAAAAATATGGTATGCCCCCAATAAATGTCTGTTTTCTTTGTTTTTTGTTTTTAAATATTAAACACTTCACGAATTTGTGTGTCATCCTTGCACTGGGGCCATGCTAATCATCTCTGTAGTTCCAATTTCACTATATATGCTGCCGAAGCGAGCACAAATGTATACGTTTATATTAAATTCCAGTACTGAATTTCTGGAAATACCAGGAACATGTATAAAAATCAGAGGTAAATACATTCATTTTATCACAGTCCTTGAGCAAACTTTTTTTTTAATTAAATACTTCTATTGGGGGCTCTTACAGCTCATCACAATCCATACATTCATCCAGTGTGTCAAGCACATTTGCACATATGCTGCCATCATCATTTTCAAAGCATTCTCTTCCCACTTGAGCCTGATATCAGCTCCCGAACTTAAAAAAAAAAAAATCATCTTATTGGGGGCGCTTACAACTCTTAAAACAACCCATACATTAATTGTATCAAGCACATTTGTCCATGTGTTGCCATCATCATTTCCAAAACATTTTCTTTCTACTTGAGCCCTTGGTATCAGCTCCTCTTTTCTCCCCTCCTTCCCCACCCACCCTTCTGAACCCTTGATAATTTATGAATTATTTTTATGTTTATATCTTACACCATATGCTGTCTCCCTCACCCATATTACTATTGTTTGTCCCCCTGGGATAGTGGGGAGCAGTTATAAGTTGATCATTGTGATTGGTTCCCTCTTTTCCCCCCACCTACCCCCTACCCTCTTGGTGTCACTACTCCCATTATTGTTCCCGAGGGGGTTATCAGTCCTGAATTCTGTGTGTCCAGAGCTCTTATCTGTACCAGTGTACATGCCCAGGTCTAGCCAGATTTGTAAGGTAGAACTGGGGGGTCATGATAGTGGGGGGGAGAACTAGAGGAATGTTTTGTGTTTCCTTAGTGCTAAACTGCACCTGACTGGCTCATCCCTTCCTTGTGACCCTTCTGTCAGGGGATGTCCAATTGTCTACAGATGGGTGTTGGGTCTCCAGCCCCCACTCATTTGCATCGGAAAAGGTTGTTTGTTTTGGGTCTTGTGATGCCTGATACCTGATCCTGACATCTGAACACACACAGGCTGGTATGCTTCTTCCATGAGTGCTTTGTTTCTTCCCTGCTAGATGGCCTGTGGCTTAACTTCAAGCCTTTAAGACCCCATATGCTGTATCTTGTAATAGCTGGGCACCATCAACTTTCTTCACATTAGCTTATGCACCCATTTTGTCTTCAGCAATCGCGTCAGGAAGGTGAGCATCACAGGATGCCAGGTTATTAGAACAAAATGTTCTTGTGTTGAGGGAGGACTTGAATATAGAGGCCCAGTGTCTATCTTTGAGCAAACTTTTCTATGGATTTTTTTTTTAATTAATTTATTGGGGCTCATACAATTCATCACAATACATAGATCAATTGTGTAAAGCACATCTATACATTTGTTGCCCTCATCATTCCCAAAATTCTCTTGCCTCTTGGGTTCCCGGAATCCGCTCATTTTCCTTCCCCCCACTTTTCTATGGATTTTATGAAACAGCTAAGTATGGATTACTAAAATCTAATTGGCCTGTTAACTAGCATATAATTTTATTTTTGTTAATCTAGGTAAGAAATCAAGCATATTTAAAGATGAAATCATATGAGACTCAATTAAAATTATATGATACAATTTGAAAAGTAAGTTTTGATTACTTTACTTATATACATCCTACCCAAAGTTGGTTTTCCCTACTTGAAGTCTGTAAAATGTGTATCCCTGATTTTACTTATTGCATCTGATCATTCTCATTTAAAGAGGACCAGAGTCATTAGCAAATATATTGCTTCAGCTCTTAATGCTTTTCCTTCAAGCCAATGGCATGGCTAAGCCACAAAGAACAGAATCACTGATCAAAAAAAAAAAATTGCCTTATCCTTAAATATAGGAGGGGAGGGCATCTTTTAGTGTTTGAGATTTTCTTATCTTTCTCTCAAAAACTATTCATTGACAATTGTTGAAAATCAAAGAAGCAACCAATCTACAACCCATCTACATATTAACTATAAGCCAGTGCTTGACTTTTTAACAAACACTACATATATCACAGGAAAAACGGATCCGAGATAAGTATGTGGTGATTTGGTTAATCCTTAAAGGAGCGACTTTCCCAAAACAAATCATCTGAATTGTCCCTTTGTTCCCCACCCAGCCTGGTTTTACATATTGGGGCAGGGCCATGGCCTCCTAATGGTGAAGCTGAAGATCCAGAATGGATGCCCTTGAAGCTGTCCGTGCTGTGGTCCTTAGGCTATGCGCTCCAACGCCTCAGCGTGCTACCTGCTCTGAAAACCATTGCTCTGAATTGTTGCCTTGTGGAGGTCTCAGCAAGTCAATTCCAACTCATCGTGACCCTATAGAAGAGGATAGATCTGTCCCTGTGGGATTCTGAAAGATTCGCCAAATATTCAAGGTTTGAATCTTATAGACCAGAGGTTCACTACATGGAAAATAATTTTCTGTTTATCCCAGTTCTACCATTATGTGACCTTGAGCAAGTTATTTAACCTCTCTCCACCTGTTTCTTTAACTATAAAATGGGAGTTAATGACACACTATATCTCAGGGTTGTTGTGAAGATTAAACGAGCTAATATAAATCAAGTGCTTAGAATATACTGACCCACACATAAGCACAGAATTAAATGTGAGATGCGCATAAGCAAATGTGGCGAGGAAAGCTGATGGTGCCCGGCTATCAAAAAGTATAGCGTCTGGGGTCTTAAAGGCTTGAAGGTAATCAAGCGGCCATCAAGCTCAGAAGCAACAAAGCCCACATGGAAGAAGCACACCAGCCTATGCAACCATGAGGTGTCGAAGGGATCAGGTATAAGGCATCATCAGAACAAAAAATCTTACCATAGTGAATGATGGGGGGAGTGCGGAGTGGAGATCCAAAGCCCATTAGTAGGCCACTGGAGATCACCTTGCACTGGGGTCTCAGGGAGGAGACGAGCCAGTCAGGGTGCGATGTAACAACGATGAGAAATACAACTTTCCTCTAGTTCCTAAATGTTTCCTCCCCGCTCGCACTACCATGACTCGAATTCGACCTTGCAAGTCTGGCTAGACCAGAGGATGTACACTGGTACAGATAGGAACTGAAAATACAGGGAATCCAGGGCGGATGAGCCCTACAGGACCAGTGGTGTGAGTGGCGAAACAGGGAGGGTAAAGGTAGAGTGGGTAGGAAAGAGGGAACCAATTACAAGGAACTATATGTGACCTCCTCCCTGGGGGACAGACAACCGAAAAGTGGGTGAAGCGAGATGTCGGACAGGGCAAGATATGACAAAATACCAATTTATAAACTATCAAGGGCTCATGAGGGAGGGGCGAGCGGGGAGGGAGGGGAAAAATGAGGACCTAATGTCGGGGGTTTAAGTGGAGAGAAAATGTTTTGAGAAGGATGTACAAATGCACTTAACACAATTGATGTGTGTATGGATTGCGATAACAGTTGTATGAGCCCCTAGTAAAATGTTTTTAAAAAAATGTGAGATACTATTTGAGAGTTTGCCTGCCTAGAAGTTCTGCTGCTGGGTAACATACTCTCAAATTACTTGCAGCAATTTTTAAACTTTGATCCTCATGAGAATAGCTGGGCCTTGCTATTACCCCAGAGATTCTGACTCTCTGCACCTAGGTTGGAGGCAGAAATCAACAATTTTAACAAGTATTCCAGGTAGTACTGCTGCTGCAGGTGGCCTTTGAACCTGTGAGTAAAGCAATAGATAATTTCATCATATTTTAGCAACTTATTCTTCCCATATTTGAAATAGAAGTCTGATTTCCCTTGTGACTTTTCTTTTACCTAAAACATCCAAAGATCTTTTATAATGTCCTCATGTGGTGTGACTTCAGGCCTGTGCATGACCCTAATCGAGAAATTATGCCTTGTCTAGAGAATAGCAATGTTTTCATTAAACATGGCATCTAGATACATAGTCTGACAGCACAGAGCAAGTTAATATTATGATCACCTTTATTCCTTTTAAAAAAAATCATTCTATTGGGGGCTCTGACAGCTCTTATCACAATCCATACATCTATGATCACCTTTATTCTGTGCAACATACTACAATTAATTAAAAACTCACTGCCATCAATTCTATCCCAACTCATAGCAACCCTACAAAATTGTAAATCTTCACAGAATGAGCAGCTGATGGATTTGACTACCAACCTTGAAGTTATCAGTCGAACCAAAACAACAAAACCTCACTGCCCTGGAGTCAGTATTGACTCATCTTGACCCTATAGAACAGGGTAGGATAACCCCCGTGAGTTTCCAAGGCTGCAACTCTTTGAGTGTAGAAATCCCCATCTCCTTCAGAGAAACTGCCGACTTGTGGTTAGCAGACCAGCATGTAATCAGGACACCACCAGGGCTCCTCAACTGGTATAGACACCTGATAATCGTCTTTCACTTTAAACCCACTGCTTGGCTGGGTGTTTTAGAGAAACAAAACCAGTGACACTCATATGTATAAGAAGGAACTTTATATCAAGAAAGAAATTCGTATCAAGGATGCAGCCCAGATCAAATCAAATGCATGGCTCCCATGCTAGCTGGAGGCCCCTCTAGACTCATGCAGCTGTCAGTCGGTGGAGCAGGAAAGCTGGGAGATCACAGGCTGATGTGTAGAGCCATCCGGATCCAAGGTCAGCAAAAATATGGCAAGGCGCTGCTGGCTCCCAGGGTCAGCAAACCATAAGGGCCAATAGCCCAGGAACCAGGTGCAGGAACCAAGCAAGCAGGAAAAGGGAGAGCAAGTGAGACCAGTTCTCCACCTGGTCTCTTAAAAGTAGACCACATCCCCAAGGAGACCTCGTTAGGCTGTGACCTCATTGATAGGTTGAACTCCACCCACATCTTCTTACAGGTGCACCAAATTGACTGAAAAACCCAACCACGCCCCCACCCCCCAACCTCTTGGTTGGAGAAAGATGAAGCTGTCTGCCTTTTGGAAACATATTCCAACCCTCAGAAACCCTAAACAGGATCCCTATGAGCTGGAATGAGCTCAATGGCAGTGGTTAAGTGGTGGTTAATTAAAATGTAAAGTACGTAAGAATGTATGTTAGCA